ACGACTGGGCCTGGGTCTGATTTTCTGTTTAAGCCAAAAGCCTGCCTTCTTTTAAGGTCCACTGATTTGTTGACATTCACTCGGACCCGAGGTGTGGGCGTTTTTGAATGGGACGATGACATTGGTCAAGGTCAATTGACCCCAACATGATGGACGGAGCGACGGAGCGCGGCGCTCCGCGGATTCTGCGGCACAAGGCTGCAGACAGTGTTTGGTGAGTCTCCTCATCATGTGCTAGACCCCTAGACTCAGACATGGGTGGCACTGCTTCACCCTCTTGTCTATCAGAGTGTCTTGCAGCAACAAAAAGGATGTGGCTGCTGGAGAGACCTGCAAACAAGTTTAATTTCGGGCATGGCTCGGCATGACCACTGCTGGATCTGCAGAGTCATCGGACATTTCAAGCATGTTGACAACATTGCCATGAAACTTTAGCAGTTTTCTTGCTTCATTGATCTAGAGTCTATAGCGACCAATTCTTGGAATCTGATTGTTTCCTGGGTCTCTGAACAACCCCCAGGCAGACGGCGGCTATAGCTCTTCAGCTCAATCACTCACCTTCAATGAACCTCATCGCAGGTTCGACGCAGCCTCCGGGACCTATTGGGGCCAATGGGTGCGCCAGCCCAGTGAGAGGACGGTGGACCTCGCAGCTCGGAGGACCTCCAGAACCCCTTCGAATCCGGACGTCCGGGCCCAAAGCTCCAATGCCAGACTCATGGGACCATGGGACAAAAATATTTACCAGGTCACATCATTTGTGCTTGAAACCGGGGGTCTTGTCACAGCTCGGAAGGTCGCGACATAAGCTCGGAAGAGCGCTTGTTCTGCAGAGCGGCAGCCTAGAACTCCCTAGACTCTAGACACAGCTTGGAACCCTAAGCCTATAGCCAGATAGCTTGTGGCACCAACCACTTGGCACCACACTCCCTGAAAGAATCATGGAAGTCAAAGGCAAGGCCCCTTGGAAAACCCTTTTCCTCCACGAACAGGTGGTTTTTCCACTTACATGATTTTCTGGGAGTATACCTAGGCTGAAGAATTCTTGGACCAGCCTTTGGATGTGCTGGTGCGGACGCCCAGTTCTTGAGAAAGGACAGTATACGCAAAGCAAAGCAAGCGGAAGGACCTGACTGGTGTGTTTTTTTCATTGTTTTTCCTCATAAGCTACCAGGGGCCTATAGAGTTTTTCACGTAGCTTCTGACGTCAGGCTGGACCATCCTTTTGGAACCTTCCTGAGGATGTATGTTCCATTCAATTACCACCCCAAGATGGTTGTTGGGACATACAATTTAGTTTTTCCCAAAGGCTTATTTGGACCCTGATAGCTATAGGGTTTTGACCATCACATCAACACCAAATCACCATCCAGCCGGCCAGCTGATAGCTATAGGGTCGCCTCTTGGAAGGGTATCGACCGAAGAATCAAGGATTTGCCATGGATTTCCCATACCCAGACACTCCATGAACACCCCACCTTAAAACAGTTTTTTGAGGGTTGCATGGGGCGGCAGCAGTCTGGGGTGTTTGGGAGTTTCTAAGTCCGGAGAAGCCAGCACATCCGAGCTTGCTCGGAGGGTCCTGGAACCGATTTGAGATTAAAGCCATGGCAATGGCGGTGTTTTCATGGTGGGTCAAGAACATATTTATATACAGTATCTTCCTAGCACTCGAATTTTGCTGTGCCCTGTCAGACCTATAAGTTTGGAGAATTATTGTGGGGTTGTCCAGCCAGGTGACCCGTAAGACGCTGGTTCGTTTGCCCAAAAGGATCCCACCAAGGGCCGGGCCGCGTCACCCGATCCTCCCATCGCGGCCGAGGTCTTTTCGATGAGCCGATGCGATGCCCATTTCAAGTCGCTGGTGTGTGGGAGGAAGAGCCAAGAGGTGCCGCGACTTCGCCGACGGTGTGACCCATGTGAAAGGCCTGTGCTCACCTTAAGCCCGGTTGGATGAAAGCTCGTGTTCTTTCAGAGGTTTTACATTCTTGGGTGGTGCATGTGATGCATGAATTCACCAACTCGGGGCCGTTCTTCGCAGCGGGCCCAACCGAAAAAGCCCATGGCTTCCTGTGTACCGCAGGTCTTCTCGGAGCTCTTCGGCCTGGCGGGAGGCATGCAAGGGGAGAAGATGCTGCTGAGGCGCCATATGGAATCACCTGGGCAGTACGCCACGCAAAAAGCCCTTCAGCGTCAGCAGCCGAAGCATCAACCTCGTGTTCCTGGTTTTGCTATGTTTTGCTTATAATGTTAAGGTTATATGGTTTATTTTCCCCTTGGATTTCTCCCCATGTTTTGTTGCGGCATGTTGAAACTCCCAATCCCCGCGACAGCCGATCAGATTTAGAGTATATGCCTGTAATATCCGGCTTGATCAGACTCTTAGTGCCTACCAACTTGCAATTCCAGCTTCAGAAGGTCGGGAAGGACCTTTCAAACCATGTTCTCAACTTCACACTGTAGGAGGCATCCCTTCCCATGCCCTGAAGGTCCTTGGACAACAGAGCACTGACTTTGGAGATCGCATGTTTGTTGTGAACCCTAACGCTCCAACCGGCCAGATCAGAAGGTGATTAGACCCCCCTGGCACCCACCTGAACCAGGAACCCCTCCGGGGAAGGATCCCTCGGACACGTAGAACACAGAAAGGAGCCGTCGTCGTGTCGGTCCAGACTGATTCGACGGTCCAGACTGACTGCCCCCTCTTCGGTTCGGGCCTTCTGTCTCCGGTCCTCTTCAGCCTCCTCTCGCGTTCGGAACTTTGGAGGTGCTTCTACCTCACCAAGCCACGAGAAGCTTCAGATCTTTTCATGTGACCGGGGGAAGGGACATAGGACGTGTGGCAACACGGAGACGTCACTAAGAGCTGAGCATCCCAGCACGGGAGAACGGGAGCAGAGAATCTGCGGTCCTGCGGCTTTCCGGTGTCTTCAAAAGAATTCAAATATATCTTGTTCCAAACCACATGTACAAAAGAACTGGGTGTCTCAGTGAGTCTTGTCACACTATAGATTCATCTAGATTCTAGATATCACATGATATCACTGAGTGTACTTCGTTGACGCGTGAGAAGCCCTATCAGGGACCCTCCTGGGCCACCCAACAAAAGTTGAGGATTAGATTCTCTGCATCGGCTTCGAGCCTCGAAGATCATGACACAGGCCAGCCCCAAAGTGTTGCCTGGCTTTGCAGCAAACGGCCTGGTTTGGTTGGTACTTCTCCGCATGCGCCCGGCTCTTTTAATTTGTGGGTTCAAAATGGCCCATGCCATGGCGTGTGGGAAGTGGCATCCACTTTGGGGGGAAGTCTGCATGCAGTTCATGCCCTTAACTACCCCACCAAATCCAGTCTGTATAGTCCCGTTGATGGGGGAACATCATCTTCCAAAGCCCTTGGAGGGATTTGCTTTGGAGACTATATCACAAGGAAAAACATCGGACATAATACATACTATATGTCTATATGTATAGAGATGCTTTCATCATATGTGAGACATTTGTTGATTATTACGAAAGCCAGCCTTCGTAGAAGGCGCCAGCTGAGTTGTGCTTGGCGAACGAAGTGAGTGGGGGGGGTGGCCCGCAAAAGGTACACGTAAACTCGGCACATGCTGGGGGAGGAGGGTGGACGGATGGAAGGTTTTTTGAGGTGATTTTTGAGGGGTGGTGATGCAAGAAATGCAATTTGCATCATTTGCATCATCTGAAGGGTAAGGTGTAGTTGGCACCTTGCCAGGTATACATACCCAGGGTAGCTTTTGTGCAGTTACCAGGTATAGTACTTCAAGTTCCCTTTCCATCAACCGCTCGATAACCTTTAGACACGCACAGCAATCCGCAGCTTTGAAGTCTCTTGCGCGCGACACCTGGGAACAGAATTGTAGCTACCCTGGGTCCGTATAAATATATGCTATGTTGCTATGCCTCTATATAAGTTCAAAGCACGAATGAGACTTCAAAGCTGTGGCTTGCTGTGCATGTGTAAAGGTTATCGAGCGGTTGATGGAAAGGGAACTGGAAGTACTATACCTGGCAACTGAATTGTAGCTACCCTGGTATCTATACCTGGCAAGGCGCCAGCTGAGTAAGAAGGGGGGTTCGGGGGGGTGGCCTGAGAAAGCACACTCGAAAGTAGGTGGTGTGTAGGGGTGCGCGGAAGCAAGGTTTTGGAGGTGCTTTTTTGTGATTTTAAGAAATGCAATTAACTTCGGTTGGTTGCAGTGCTATACTTGGCAACTGAATTGTAGCTACCCTGGGTATACCTGGCACCTGCCTTGTAGCTGCCCTGGGTCCGCGCGCGCGCGCCTAAATCACGGGCAGCCGGGAGCCAGCAAGGCGCGCGCGCGCGCGGACCCAGGGTAGGGAAATTGAAGTGGGACACCTGGCAAAAGAATTGTAGCTACCTTGGTCCGTATAGATGCTATGTTGATGTACCTCTTACATACCTATATAAGTTCAATGCACGAATGAGACTTCAAAGCTGTGGCTTGCTGTGCATGTGTAAAGGTTATCGAGCGGTTGACGGAAAGGGAACTGGAAGTACTATACCTGGTAACTGAATTGTAGTTAGCCTGGGTATCTATACCTGCGCCAGCTGAGAAAGAAGGGGGGTTCGGTGGGGTGCCCTGAGAAAGCACACTCGAAAGTAAAAACGCTGGCTTTCGTTTTGCAGCTTCTCAGGTTGTCTATGTATAGTACTGCTAGGACCTATGTCCAAAAATGATCCAAGAAAGACTGCAAACTCAGTTTACACAAACAACCATAAACAGACTTATCTGGCTGCGCGCACATCGGCCATGTGTCTGGCAGGGATCATCACCTTTTCCAGTGCCATTTTTTTGGTGCACCCGGAGCTGTGGTGACCCAGGAAAAAAGCTGAGATTGATGGCCGAAAGATGAAGACTGGGCTCCCCATGAAGCTAGTGACTGACCACACACACCCAGAGCATTCCAGAGCCAACTTTGTAAGAACACACAAATTCTATTAGAACCAAAAAAGTACAATGACGCATGTCCAGGTCGGAGAATCTTGCGTGTATCACTTAAAACGTGGGGCGGGCAGCTTAGCAGTGTGCCCAGGATCCCGCAAACACACGATCCTTTTCGATCCTGTTGCATAGACTTTGGGCACGTTGGATACCTGGAGTGTCTGGGATTGGCTTGGTCGACCAGCTCGACCGCAGAACCAACGAGCCAAGCGCGCGCGCTCGCTCTCCGCGTGCTCCACCCTCAAGCAGTCGACGGCAGTCCGGTGGCGGCGACTGGGCCAACTCGCCCACCGTGCGGAGACCTGCTCGAGAGACCCGGACCGAGACTAGGGACCCAGGGGACCAGACCCGACCACCCTAGGGCTCCAGTCGTGCCAGAAGGTGGGACTGGGGTGGGTGCCAGGAGGGTCCAAACACCTTCTGAGGCCCTAGGGATAGAGAGCGCCGAACAGATCTAAGGAGTCGAACAGATGTACCGTACCTGAGGGTCGATCCCGAGAGATGAGGGGTATATACCGCTGCAGACGCAAGCGCAGCACGCTGGGTGCGCGTTGGCCGGGCCAAACAGGGCACAGCCTTCGCCCGGCCGAGGGTTTTCGTTTCGGCTTGGCCAAACGTATGAAACCAAGCCGTCGAAGCGGTGCCGTCGCAGCAAGCCGTGAAAAACAAATTGGACATCCGGAATCCGAGCGCTGGTCAACTGTGGAATCTCTTCCTTCCGTTGTTTTTGTTTGGAAATCGTCGATTCCTGTGGGCCTAACCAGAGATCCACAGACCGTCTCACGTTCGGTAGGACCCAAGACATAAAGGTGTCGAACACAGAATAATCCATAGGGAATGACAATGCATGAAAATGGCCCGCACATTCATTAAACATTCCCAGACCATCCATGTATGGAACATATAGTTATATACTAGATGGCTGTAAAGTGATACATACCAGCTGCTTCCAAACGGGTCACCTGGCTGGAGAACCCTACTTATAGGTTTCCAGACAGGACACCCATTGGAAGTACTAGGTATAACTACATGCCAGCACCACCCAAAGGGTAAACCAAAAAATAGATGGACAAGACATCTTCAGTGGAGTCTATAAACCACCCTTTGGGAGTTGCTGGTGGATCGTTTGGGATAGTTCGTCCGAATAAATTCCTCGGCCTGAGAAAACACGACCAGACACGACCTGAAAAAATCTGGGTTCTGAAAAAAAGGACTCCCAATCAAGCGGGGTTGGTTGAAACTGGGGTCCATATGTAAAGAGGTATGAATGTAATTATCTCAAACACTCCAAGGGACTTGACTGCAATATAATGATATACTCATATAAAGTATTATAAAATCATATTACATTGGGCGATTTTAGATGTAGACATACATATATTCCAGTCCCATGTGTCGTGTCTGGGAGATAAACACATATTGGATATGTTTTCTACCCTCACAAATCTCAAAAGTGTGTGTTTTTTTTTCGCCAGACACTGAGGCATTCAAAAGACCACGAGACTGCATCCCTTGGATGTTTGTTCAAGGGGATGACTGCCCAGTGCTCAGTTCCAGTGCTTTGGGTTCGTTTGGTTGACTTGCCAGCTGAAAGTGGTTCCATGCTGTTTAAAGTTGTTTTTTTGTGTCATCTGACCTTGCACAAAGAAGCCTGCTGAAGGGCAAATGGTTTGTTGGAGTTTGGTGCAGGGTTTGGAGGACTTTTGCTTATGTTCATGTTTTCACAGTTGTTCCAATCTCAACCTTTCCCTAGGGGTCCACATACCTTCTCAGAAGGTAGTTACTTGGACCCTTCTGGTGCCTACATAAAGGTGTCAGAGGGTATGTGGATCCATAGGGTTTGGGATTTAGCGGGTGCAGTGTGCAGCAGTCTTCGTATGACTTGTGGGTCTTTGTTCAGGCAGAATGCCATTTCATGTTCATTGCAGTTTGACGGACCGTTTGCTGCTGAGTTGGCCACTGTATCAATGGTATGAGGGGCCTTGGAGCGTTTTTGGCCCTTGCCACCTCCCTTGACTAGGGAATGATCAATTTGCTCCCTTGAGTCATATTGAGAAATATGTTCTGAAGTGTACTTCACTGCACTCAAACTCCCACTCAAGGTATGAGGTACCTTCGACTGCCAGTTACCCCCATCAAGAGGCCGAAGAGACACTTCGGACGAGTCAGACGTCCCAAGGTGTACCAGAAGGACGCAGGACGCTTCATTGGAGACAGTTTTGCAGTCGATACGCGCCAATCTTTGCTGCAATATAGTTTCATCAAACCATCAAAGACCAATCTGAGCTTGACTTTGCTGCCTTGGCTCATCGCTGAAGGAAACCCAAGCGTGATCCTTTTTACGTCAATAAACGCTGGCACATACCAGGCTTCAGTGGTCAAAATCGTCAATTTGCAACTGAAGTGCATCAAAAGCTGCAAGTTGCAGCACCAAAATGGCTCAAGCTGGTTCATTTGGCTGTTTAAACAAGTCTGCACAACAACAACAACAACAACAACAACAAAGTGTTATTCTTCTTCTTCTTCTTCTTCTTCTTCTTCTTCTTCTTCTTCCCACGCGCTCGAGACGATTCGAGTTGCGCCGCCTCAGACATAGTGAATGTGTGGACTCTCGTGAGTCTAGCAGCCGTGCCATCTGCTTGCCACTCTGTGGCAATGAACTGAACTCAGGCCGTCACCGGCAGACCACCCTCCGTGAGGGTCAAAAAGTCATGCGCCGGCAATGCATCTTAGGAAAAACAAACAAAGACTTCCAAGAGGCTCGGACCAGCGCTGGTCAGGCTCTCACATGGCTCTCACCGCAAGCGGCGTCCAGCCGCATCGTCAGCCAGCGGGAAGGCAGCTGCAGGCCGCCGAGGTCCGCGCCCAGCCGCGTCGTCAGCCAGCTGGAAGGCAGCTGCAAACCCGCAAGGTCCGCCTGCATCAGTAGCAAGGGGCGCTGAGGACGGCGCAGTGTCAACTCGAGGTGGCTTCATGATGGAGCGGCGGGTGGTGGGGCAGGTTCAGTGTTGGCCCCTGGACACCGGACAGATGTATTTGATACATCTGTTTTCAAGCCCATGGGATGCCAGAAATGCTGGGCAGACCGGGGTGCATCATCGACATCATTGCCTGCACTGGTGCTCATAGCAGAGCTCAGGCGCAGATGCTCCTCAGGGTGGTCCTGTGAAAGGTCCATGGGCGCGATGCAGTCAACAGCGGAGCATCCCTTAGTGGTGTCAAGAGGCGCCAGAGGAACCAAGTCACCTCCATAGGTGGAATGCCCAATGTCAGTGGCAGTAGAGGGCAAATGCGAGCTAGGGGTAGGCTATATACAAATTGTCATCACAAACCAACCATTGGCAGTCCTGGCCCGGAAATGTCCATTCATGGACGCGCCCAGGTGCGCGACGCATGCCACCACCACGTGAGGGTGGTGTGTGACCTCCAAACCCTGCCCAGCACCTCCGTGTTCAGGTCGAGGTGGACAAAGTGAATCAGGACGCAGGCAGCATCGATGTTTCTATCTACGTACCAGCATTTGGGTCCATGAGGATACAAACACGCTGACGTCATGCCAACTCCTTTGTGCCAAGGCTGAAACAATTCAGTGAATGTGTACTTCTCTTGATCCAGCTCACATGCATGGTCCAGAGTGATCGGTTGGTGCTGGTGACCTTGATCATACAGCTCGATCCCTGCGTCAGTGCTGAATCGCCGTTCCCATGCCATGGAACTTGACGGGGAGCTCAACCACTGCAAGGATTGGTTGGTGAACTCGCAAATGTCTTGAGGTCCAAATTTCTTCAAGGCATCCCCAAACAAAGTCTCCATGCTGGAGTGCGCAGCCAAAGAGATGCTGGCTGAAGTCTCCATGTCTTTGAAAAAGCGGCCCAAGCCGAGAATCTGCTGAAGTGGATCTATAGGAGCGACGTCTCTGTTGAGTCAGATGGTGGAATTCCTAGGCAACCTTCGCTGTGTCCCGCGCTCCCTCATCCTGGCGGACAGGAGGAGCCAGACAGAGGAGTGGCAAAGGCTCTTCAGCAAGGTCGGGGAAGGCCTTGTCCTCGGTGATCACTTTCGTGGCAATTACCTGCTTCCTGATCTGCTCGTCGTTCACCTGTTCCATGAACTTGATGTAGCGTTGCTGGAGTTCCTGCAGAAGAGTTTGGATCAACCAGCTGCGAAGAGGCATCGCAGTAACTTGTGACGTCTCGTTCCACTGCCGTGCTAGGCGCAACAGGAAGGGGATGTGAAGCTCCTCGTTCTCCCCGAGCGCAAAAGATCAGAAACTGATCTTGCGTAGCAGCCGCATTCAACGAGTCCTCATGGCGGATCAGGAGTGTGGACATCAACTGCACCAGCTTCTCCATCTTGACGGTCTGGGAGGAGTTCTGTGGAGAGGCAACCCGTCTTGGATGTCGGTCCGGACCTTTGTGTCTCTTCTCCGGCTGGGTCAAGGTGGCTCTGGCATACCTAAGAATGCTTCCGTCGTCTCGTCCACGCGATCCCCGGTGCAGATCACTGAGTCCGGATGATCCATCAGAGGCAACAGGTTGGGTGAATGCCAAAGCTCCTGTCAAGTTCAGGAGGGTGCTACATTGGTGCTTCAAGAATGCCCAACATGTGGAGTCTTCTTTGTGATAGTCAGTCTGTGGCTTGAAACACAATGTGCATGGTAGCGGAGCTTTGAGTTGAGCCCAGATGTGACTAGCAAGGTATATCGACAAGGCCGGCTTTGCACACTGTTCTCCATGTTGTTGTACAAGATGCTGAAACAGATCATGTGACTGTGCAAACGTGCGAGCACAAAGAAGGCAACTCTTGCTGAGGACTTCACTTGGCTGACCCAACATCTGAGGGTTCTCCTGGAAGAGGCTGGCAACAACAACAACAACAACAACAACAACAACAACAACAACACACCCGCGCGCACGCGCGCTTTTCAAGAAGTGCATTTGGAGCAAGATGCGCTGCAGTCACTCACAGAAATGGCACCTTGAAACCCTCCCCGATCAAACTAACCATAGTGCGAACAACATACCCATAGAAGGATGGTTCCTCAAGCTTTAAACGTGAAACAAAAAGAAATCATTGCGCAACTCATTTGGGGGGGTGTTCACCGCACTCATTATATTGCCCGCGTTGGCCATTTCCCGACATTTTGCAACTTGATGTTCGCTCATTTTGCGGATTTCCATTCTAGTACCAAAACGAACCAAACACAGTTTGAGAACACCGTTTGCTTTCGATTAACCTACCAGTCAGATTCAGGGCAATTTGGTCGTGGGCCATTGAAATTAAGAACGTTGTATTTAAATCTAATAAATCTAACATTAAAACGTTGGAAGGGGATTAGGGGATTCAAGTCGTCACTATCTCCAAAACGCCCAGAACCCGTTAAGTCCCTAACCCCCCCACTCCATCGAGCAACGCAACAGAACTCCAATACAGTAGTTGCTACCAGCCCTATGCTCGCCGACAAAAAATGCGCGACCGTTACAAATTCCTTTATTCTGGAGCTGTGCCGTCATCCCATTGTTTGATGCTTGTTTAGCCCTATTCACTTTGGCACTAGGGATCCGGTTGCCGGAAGAAACGAGAGATTGCGCGACCGAACAAGGTACGTTTGAGTCTCGTTTTTCTGATCCAACATGGTCATTGAGGTCTATGAAGCAGCTATAATAATATAGTAGTCCCAGCTATATGGTAGTACATTCTGGGACTCCTCCAAGGTATTTCATGCAATAGGAAGGAATGTCACATAGACCATATATGGATCCATTTGTATCCCATAGGTCAATATTGAACATGGTTGAGTGAGACTAGGAAGAAAAGAAAACATATCTCAATGTTTGTTTTTGTGGTGGTTACTATTTGTTGTCATGTGTGTGTGTGATGATTTCCTTTTTAAAATTGAATAATAAGTACGTATATATATATAATATACATATACCCCTTTGGAACTGGCCGGTGTCGTGTCTGACTTGCGAAACCCAAGGTGAAGGCAGCGCCTTCGACACCTGGGAGAACGTCAGATCTGTGCGACGACCGTGGAAAAAACCAGGGATCGGGTTTGGAACGAACGAGCCCCTCTTGGGGCAGACCATTTCATTACCCAGACTCCAACAGACTGCCCGATTCAGACTTGGGGTCGGAACCCAGACCTTCTCCCGACCTCGATAGCAGAGGTCCGGACCCTTTGGGCCGGATTCTTGGGCGGGGTTTATAGACCTAGATCTTCCAACGGCGCAACATTTCCGCATGTTAATTTATATAACTATATATATCCAACCAAAAGGCAAATGTATTAATCTTGCATCGTTGGAAGATCCATGTATATATATATATAGCCTGGGATGGTTCCAACAATGATTGTTTTAATAGTCTGAATCCCGAACAACCAGCTGTTTTACAAAGGATGTTTACACTACACATACCGCTAGGGTACATAATTATATGCTTAGACTGACCCCTGAAACCACACATTCAGTGTGTGGGCAGCCTAAGGAGTCTGAAAAACAAACACAATAGGTTGGTCAGAGACCATGTTGAATATTTCTTTGATATAACATCAACGCAGGATAGAACAAAAAACACGCTCACCTCCTACACGACGCTACTTCGTCGTCCTCCCAGTCGTCGTCTCTTGGGTCTCAGAGTCTATTCGCGGAGGTCATTCCACCGAAGGGACCCACCTGGGACATGGACCTGCATGGGAACACGAGCATTCCTTCCTCCCACAAAACCAGGGTGTTTTTCAGGTTCCAGGTGATTTTTCCGGAGAGTCATCCCAATCCAGCGTCCGAGATTCCTCTTGCTTGGGGCACTGCAACGGGCCTTCCACTCCTGTGGAGGATGTGACTATCCCAACCTGAGGTTGGTAAAAAGAACAGGGACCGATTTGAGTAGGTAGACAGGCAGATGTTTGGAAAACTTGGAGGTCTATGTGGGGGGGGGGCAACATGGGGCACCCGGCAAAAGAAACAACATGCACAGCTTAGGAAACACTTCAGCACGGCTGTTTCTGACAACCATCCTTCAAGAGATGTCCCCTCCAAAACAACAGAAGTAACAACTATTTTGTTTTTTGCAGTGAGCTGTGGAGACGCGGGAGGAATTTTCAAGCAGAGTTCGCGAGGCGAGGTGCTAAATTGCACTGACGAGGCAGACGAGGAGGGATATGACTCAACACACGTGGCTTGATGCAGGTATATCCGCTGGGCCTAGGGGATTTCTACCGGGAGCAGGATGACGTTGTGAGAGGAATCACGTTCCGGGGCCCCAAAACGCGAGACGACGCAGTCCATGCGATCCATGCGATCCAATTTCGGATCAATGCAGATCAACCGATCGAACCGGACTGGTTCGCATTGATGATCATTGATGTGTTTATTAATTGATGTGTTGTGCCTTCATTTGGACTAGAATGCCGGACTCTGGATGTTTTGTTTTCTCTTCACAGCGGCAGTTATTTGTCGTTGCCTTGACTTGCCACATTTTTGGAAGATGGACTTGCAGACTGTATCTATATGTGTTGTTTCTTGCTGTTTTTCATTGGGGAACCAAAATCAATTACCAGTAGAATATAAACATTCCTCCAGTTAGGACCCCATTGAAATGGGCCTATTCTTGGTTGGCCCAGAAAAGATGTCTTCCTTTATTGTTTTTCTATTTTTTCCAGGGTGTGCATGAAGCATCATGAAACAATGAAACACCCAAACTCCCGTGGGTCCTGGTTGGAGATACTGAGAGTCCAGTCCTGACGCAGTGGTGGAGTATGACTCGATTGAGTATCCCACATGCGGTGTCCATTGAGTCAAAACGGATGCTGGAAGTTCTGGTGGAGAGGAGTGGAGTGGAGTGGAGTGGAGTGAAGTACATCATGAATTAATAGTAAATAGTGGTCTGTAACACGAGACAACTCCAGTTGTTCCCCTTTTTTATGACCACTGCTTTGAGATGGACCGCACATGACACGATCTCACACCATCTCACATGTGTGCCGGGTTGAACCCTCCTGGGGCAGCAACGCCGTGGCACGGGGGGAGAAAGAGAGAGATGTGTTGTATCAAGTAGAAGAAGCCAAGATACTTTATGTATGACCCCGACCATCGATGAAGCTGGAATATGAACCTTATTAATGTAATGTAAATAATATATGAAAATCACCGGAATGTACGCACATATTCCATGGATTGTTAGGGCGATAGAATGCCGATGAGTTGGTAGTTTTGGGGGTATTTTGTTTGGCATGTTCCGTACATGAGGGAATAGATCATACCTTATACATCCTTATACATGCATCCTTCCAGCGGGGATGCTTGGCGCACCGAGAAGCGTTCCGTTCGTTGGGTCACCGTCACGGTGACGGCCGGCGGTGTGGACGTGAAAGAATCACCATCCTCACCTGGGCACAATTCAGAACTCACAAAGCTTGTCATGCAAAGCAAAGCTTGGCATCAGGTTAATGCTAAAGCTAGAAGCTTGTACATGGTTAAGTGTACAACAACCCAAGATGTGTTCTTGAAGCCAAGGTCCATCAGACGCATGTGAAATCATTTCACCGGAAGCCGAAGCAGGGATCAAAGGCATCTCCCATGGTTCGAGATGCGGACACAACGAATGAAACATGTCCTTCCGTTCAATTGGTCGAGTTCCAAAACGCCCAAACATATCGAACTTATAAGGACACCAAGAGAGGTCAAGTGACCGTAAATAGGACCCTTCTGAGGAGGTACTGGGAGCCCTAGGGTATGTCTTCATAGGGTCAGGTCCCATGTTCGGTACGAACTGGCTCCAGGTAAAAAATGGTCTTCGTTGCCGTCCGTTCAGGCTGAATACGAGCGACGCCTTGCCGTCCGAGAGTTTCGATTGGCCTTCCCTTGAGGAAGCCGCTGCGGGGCCGCGAAGTGCCAGCGCCGGCTTCGCGGGTTCGTCTGGTTTCCTGTCTGGTTCGACTGGTCCCCCACTCCTGGCGGCAGCATGGGGGGTCCACTTTTCCTGGAAGGTGGGTGCAAGAGGATCGTTGGCCAAAGTCCCTACGACTCCGGTCCCACATCCTCGGTATTCGGACTGACCCCCCCTGGTATCCACCTCACCCCAGTCCCACATCCTCACGGTGCTGGAGTCCATCCTCACATATTTCCGGTGCTGGCTGTACCAGACCACGCAAAACGAACGCAGTTCCTCCAACATGTGGTTTTAGGCCATTTATGGCAATTTTAGGCAACATTAAACTAGTTTAAACTGCATGGATTGTATTATATATAGATCGTATTTTGTTGTTATTGTGTTTGTTGCTCTTGTTCCTTTCTTCTCGGCCACTAGTTCTTGAAAAAGGCTGAAATCACCCACCGTGCGCCAAAAACGTACTCCTGACTGACAGACAAAAGGGCCAACTGACTTCATTAGCAGACTCCACCTTTTCAAACGACAGGCACACAAACGAATCAAGAACCCTAGGGCTCCAGTCGTACCTCCTCAGGTTCGGTATGACTGGACCCGACCCTCCTGCAGGCACCTACTCCAGTCCAAGCGAAATGATACGGTACGACTGGAGACACCACACGAGGCGACGTGGTCTTGAAACGAAGATCCATCGACTCCATCGACCGTTTGGCAAACTGGACACGCGCGACGGATCGGATCCGGCAGGACAGTGACTGGAGCAAGGCCTTGGAGGTTCATTCAGAGGTGCCCGGTGCGGTCGCTCGGTGTGTTCTCCGCGGCCTCCACAGGGCGCTTTGCGCTGTGGCCTCATGGCCGAGCTACGTGGCCTGACCTGGCCCGCCCTTGGTTGATTCGAGAGGACATCATCGGCCAGTTTGTGTTTGTTCAAAGCCATTTCTGCGATTAACCGCGTGTGTTTCCCTTACACCTGGAGCCTCAAACGATCTCAAACAATTTTTGGAATCTTGAGTGCCCTTTGTGACACCAACCCATAGGTTTGGAATTGGTGCTCCAGGATGCTCCAGGTACCAGGCAAAAAAGTAGATGCTATAATGGTATTGGTATGTGGTAGTATGCGGTATAGTATGGTATCGTCAATATTATAGTTCATTGTTGTTTTTATTTTTTTCAGAGTGGTCACTTTGAACATGGGCTTGGAACTGCTTTTTGGATGTAAAGCAATGGTGGTAGGCTCTCCACCGGAGCCTGACCGGTGAGGCGGTCCTCTCAAGACAGAAATCATGCTGGATTGATCCATTCTCAGGAAGCAACAGAGACATGTCTCACAAAGACCAGGACAGAGCTGTTTTTTTTTCAAAAGCCTCTTGGGTCAAAGATTTCTGGGTCGAGTGAATGTGGTCGACCACTTCCCTAGGCTTCCAAAGACCTATATATTTGCAATAGGCCGAAATCGGCAAAGACCTCACAAAGTTCTGACTTTATGAAGACCCCTCCGGATGAGGTTCGGCTGACCGGATTTCAGGGAGACGACGTCTCCAGAAACTGTCACAAGCTTCCCCCCCATCCAGACACCCTCAGAGTCGGTTGCGCCGTGCACCCTCTTTAGTCGCAGGGGTCCAGCATCCTTTCTATTGGAGGGCGGAGTCTTAGGGAGGAGTCTTGGCAATGATTTTGTATTCTTTTCCTCTTGCCTGCGGCTCTTCCAGGTGTCAACTCAAACAGCCCGAGCCAACGACCGGTCTTTCCCACGCCGGTGACGGCCGTGGGCAATGGATCGGTCTCGCGCGCAGACCGCGCCGGCCAGCTCCAGCCGGGTTCCTGCGGTGAGTCGTGCCATTCACGCGCTTTCCGCGCGCGGAGGAGCTCGACTTCAGGAGACCACACTGCAGGTGGAGTTCGTGGGCGGACCAGCTCGCTGGCGCTTTGTGGAGGAGGAACCATGTGAGGAGGTGGAGCTGGAGGTAAGAGCTTCGAGGTTTCCAAAGGCCTCCAGTCAGCCTTGTTTGCATGAAGTGACCATCGCCGGTGGTTGGGGAGAGAGGTCGGAGAGAGAACGACGCTTGACGAAGCTGGCCTCCAAGTTGGGATATATTCCAGGTCTGCCGAGGCAAAGGGTCGGTAAATCTCGCTTGGATAGTTTCTTACCTGCTGAATATCGAGCAGGGGCTTTCAAGGATTTCAAGCCGCCCATCCCCAAAGTCCGGAAAAGCAGCTATGCTGGCGATGTGGCCGTCGAGACCCGGCAGCATTTGCGAATTCTGAAGCTTCCTGAAGGTGACCGCTTAGTGGTGAAGCGCTGGGCACCTGGCTTTTTTGAGGCACCATCAAGAAGAATACATGACCAGAGCCTTCGTGAAGCACTTCAACTTGACAGTCAGAGTTGATTGGAGTGAGATGTGCAATGTCGGATCGCGCCACGTAGCCCAGAGTGAGTTCCAACTCAGCCACCCCAGTGTTCAGAGCCAGACGCTTTTTTCCTCAGCCAGTCAAAGAATTCAACCCCCCCCATGTTGAGAGCTCCTCATTGACCGAATCTTCATTTCTGGACATGGGTCCAAATTCATTAGTGACAAGGGCATCGCTACCAGTGCCAAGGGCATCGCTACCAGTAACAAGGGCAGTACTACTAAGAACCAGATTCGACCCATGGCCGGGCATCGCGTCTTCCCCTCGTCCCGAACGTGGACGAAAGAGGAACGACCTCGGTGGACAGTTCAGATGGCACGAAGGCCCAAGCAGAGCGAGAGATGGTCATAGAATGGTCATAGACAGAATCGACATGAAGCGAGGGTCGTGTTGGGCTCTTTAGTTCACATGAATCAGCAGTTGAATCAGGAGTTGCATCAGGATATATCAGGGGGATTTGCATTGATCGGGGTCTTCCCTGGTCCCCTACTCAGCCTGCCAGTAAAAAAATGTGATGCATCCCTTCTGGGTCCCTTCCCTACAGATCCAGTCTGACCCTGACCCAGGTCCAAACCTGGCCTTGAAGACCTCATCAAGTAGTGGTTTTGTAATGTTTTGTATGATTAACTCCAAACAGGTCCACCTGACCTGTACAGGGCTTGCTTTACCAGGGCTGGGCCCCATGTGCGAAAGCTTGAGAGGCCCACATCCTGTGGGCCTGGCGTTCGTGCCAACCCTCGAGCTCGGCAAACTCGATGAGCAACAAAAAGAGCTGGTGCTGGTAAAGCTGTGGCTCAGAAGGAGATAATGGTCCCTAGGGCTCCAACCATATCCTCAGAAGGTGGTTGGACCCCCCAAACCCACCCCAACCACCTTCTCAGGAGGTGGTTGGAGCCCTGGGGGGTTTACTTTTCCAGGGGGTGGTCGTTCGTTTCTCCAAACCGGGCGCCATGGACCGCATGGACCGCAGGACCGAGTCGCCATGTATCAAAGGGGAGCGAGCACCGGCCCTGGCAGAGGCGACTCACCCACGAAGGACTTCCTAATTGACCCCGTCCAAATCCGTCAAACAAAGCACCTCCAACAGACTTTCACACTTGAGACAAACTCTGGGAGGCAACAACAACCCTCTAGAAGACCCGGCAGGTCTCGGGTGCTGGTTGACATCATCCCAGAGTCTTGGGAGGATCCTCACATCAAATCCAGAGGTGTCCGAACCCCCCACGAAACCGTCACCTCGCAGGATCGCCTCGCCGAGCGGCACTGGATTTTGGTGGGTTTTGGAAGACTTCAGGGGCGGCACTGGCAGGCATCTTACCTATAGTGATCATCTACCAGAGGGACGGGAAGCTTTGTGCCTACCATTTTAGGGTTGAATTCGATGCAGCCACTCCATGGAACTGGGACGCCTGGGTGTGTTCAAACAGACCGAAGCCGCCAGCGTCCATCTCCCTCCCTGGGCTTCGGGAAGCCTAGATCAGTCGACACCCAGCCCTACCGGTCCAGGGGATCTTCCAACGAAGTTCCGAACGAACGGCTGTGTGGTCCGTAGATGTGAAGTTAGGCATCAATTCTGCACCGTTGGAAGATACCAGGACCCGAAACCTGCCAGGTTACCACCTGTGACTTTGAAGTCCACAAAAGCCTCAGGGTAGGAGACCTGTAGAGTCGGGTGCTGGTAGGATCTGGTAGGAGACCTGTTGGGTAGGTATATATGATTATATATAATATATACATGTATTGTCTATACATGGCCCCCGTAGTGGCTCGCCGTCAGGCTGAAAAGCGGCAGGTGGATGCAGCCACCCTCGTCTTCGGGCCAGAGGCTCCGGGTGAAACTGAAACGACGTTGGAACTGAGGCCGTGGTTTCAGAGTTTCAGAGTACCAGCACCCTCCAAGAACTTGGGATGGGTACAAATATGATACAAATATGTGTCTACATACTTCGTTTTCAAGGGGTGAGTCATGTCGCATGTTCCAGGGTACTTGAAGTCGGGTCTCGGTAGATGGCACCCCAAGTTTGGATGCTTGCACCATCTACTCTGTCCACAGCGTTGGACGTTGAACACGTTGGGTCTCGCGAGCAACCACAGCGTTCAACGTGCTGCTGGAGCCGCTAGCAAGCTTCGTATCCCGGATCCAATGCCACCTACCTGTGTGCTCGAAAGTGTTCGACACCTTTCTGTAGGCCTAGGGGTGGATCCCTGGCGTATGCCAACTCATAGCCGTCGTGGCCAAACCACTGATTCAACCAAGCCGGCTTGCCGGCTTTGACAAGGTATTCGTAACGGTAGAGACCGCTGCATTTCAAAAACGAGCAGCCTTCCATCATGCATTCCCAAATGGAGCTTGTCATTGAAAAATGCGCGTTCTAAAGTACAAAGTTGTCTTGAAAGCAATGTCAAAAAGTAACAGGTGAAGAAAATGCAGTAGGCGCAAGACGGAAGGACGAGTCAAGAAGAAAGAAAACAGACAAATTTGCTGAGTGTTGCTCTTTGAAGCCTGTGGCTCACAGCTAACAATTTGTCATTCAGAGCCAAAGCGCCCCACGCTCTTGGCCTCATTCGTTCTGGGGAACAAAAACAAGGTTGCCCTGTCTCAAACTACTAAGTTTCCAGACAAGAACCAAGAAACTCAGTGAAGACCCTTTCGAAACCCAGATATCCACGGACCCAGGCGCCCTCTCTTTCAAGCTCCTTGTGGGAA